TTATTTACACACAAGATGAGGAAAGTGCTCTCTGCTGTAGTTAATATCCTTATGCCTATTTTCACATGTCAGAACATATCCAAGATTTTAACACATTACGAGGATAAAACCTCGTAATGGAACATAAGATTTCAATTCACAATATAAATTATTAAAATCCTAAGAAGCACTCACTTTATGAATTCCGACACAATCTGAAAAAAACATATTTTTCCATTTTCCGCGTAAAAATAATAAATTAATTAAGTTTATTGTTAATAAATGTTATTTCTCACCACATCAGTTTGTACAATTTATAGAATATACAAGTAAAGTTAAAGTTCAAAGCAATGTGGGAGACTGATGCCTAAACTAAGCAAAGCCTGTATTTTAGGTCATCACGTTCCCCTCCCTAGTTATAAATATGTACCCACTAAAAATGTAATCATACTGAAATATTCACACAATTTAAGCACCGTGCAATATTGAATGAAAATATACCAAAGCACTTTTACAAGCGCCGACACAAGCCATCGTCTTCAATGTGTAATAATTAAAGTACCTGTAGGACCTTTTTTTTTTTGGTAAATTATTAATAAGTGTGTAAATGATCGTGATACGAACCACGACCGTCTGTTTGAGCTATTATAAATTTTTTTTTTTGCTAGATCGTTTTTCCGCCCCCGACTCTACGCACATACTAAATTTCATGAAAATCGCCGGAGCCGTTGCCGAGATTCCGATTATATATATAATTATAATATAATTCAGCACTTTTTTTGTAAATTTGTTCGCCGAATATTGCATTCATCGCCGAGGGTTCCAAATCCACCTGTACCGCCATGATAAAATTGGTCAATAATAACCACCAATTTTCGTTTCTTAGATTCGGAACGGATGGACCTAAATTTACATCAGATACTGAGGTTTATAGTACTTTATTAGATTAGGTGTATTGTCAACAGGATAAAAAGATATGGCCATATTTAGATTTTAACGAAAACTTATAAATACCAAAATTTAAACGTCATCTTAATTAACATTCGATCTTAATATTTGTAACGTTTTAATTTCAACGCTCTATCTTTGAGAAAGCCTTTAGGGAAAGATAAAGTAATGTAAAAATCAACTAGAAATCAAGAAGATTCATCTCTCGTTTTCTGTTAATATTTTGCATGCTCAGAGACAACTAGAGCAAGAGTCGTGAGCCCCAGACCTTCGTCATTTTATAAAAGCCGACGAAAGAAAAGACCGGCATAAAGGTTTATAGTGTAACACTTCTAGTGTTACATTTCTGCGTTTCGTTTGTGAGTGAGGTAACCGGTGCCGACTTTATTTAAAGGTATTGGAAATGGGCGGTTATCACTAATCATCAGGTGAATCGTCGTCAGCTCGCACATAGAACACTTCATATTTTATCGTTTGTTACAATAAAATAAGTACATAGCAAGACATTTTCCAGACGCTATGCAGTACATACAAATTTGGTTCTTTACAGCCAAACGAAATACGAAAATGAAATAGCAGTGATGGTATCACTTTATCTAGGTTATGTTCGAGACAGGAAACGCGCGCGTGAGTTCCTAAAGAACTCCTCCCAAAAAGAAACCTGAGGGAAGGACTTAAACAGTTGTCCCTTGATTAATATGGATGCGGCCACAACGCCACTGATGGCAGTGCGTGGAGTTAAGGCGCTGTTTGCACTGAATTTTCTACTATTTGGGTGGTGATTGGTGAAGGAGTTTCGTTGACGCGGCGCGTGACCTTCATTCATCACCTATTAGTGGTGGGCCTTAGGATACTATAGATAGTATCGTATGGGGCTTTAAATATGTACACAGATGATCCCTATATATTTTTTATAGGCGTTGATTGTCTTCTTCTTTTATTTTATAATAGGAATAATATCACATGCAATTGAAACATTACTAATGTATGTTATTCATTTCGAATGGGTCAATGATAAAGGAATCTTTGTTGATTTCCTTGAAGCAATTATTGTAATATATATTACTGCGAACAAAATCAAAAACAAAGGAAACTTTATGTGGGTAATTGCCCTTTTCGAAAATGGAAGAATGTTTTAATGCAATATCTCCATTTAGCGATTCAGCAAAATGCTGGAATTAAAATGTGACAGACGTGCAACCGCAATGTCATTAACGGGCGGTCTGCAATTCAAAATAAATTATATTCGAAATTTTCTAACTGATCGACTGAACGGTTAGCCGCCATGTTTCGATGTGTGCATGTGTCGTCATGTTGGACCGCAAAATAGATTAAACTCGTCGAAAGCCAAAAGCTACAACGTAACACGACCGACGACAAGGCATATTTGGCGCTGCCAGTCCCGTCCTCTTTGACCCCACAAAGCGTGGGAGAGTGAACTTTAAAAAGGCCCTCAATGATTTTTGTTTTAAAAAAACCAATTAACTTTCCAAATAGAACACGCAGACAACAAAAGCGCCTAGGAACTTGTTTTTGACAAGGAATCAACAAGGTGCAAAGCGTTGCGCTCTCCGCCTTTACACCCACCCCGACGGCTAACTAAATAAACTGAATTGTCTGCTAGTTTTCTGCGTGTAAGCTTCAAAAGCGACAGCTCAATCGACGTCACTAAGTCGTACCGAATAAACGTTATTGAATATAATTTGCAATCATCTGACCGAACGTCGCGAATAAGCATTTCATTTCTATCCACAATGGAATTTGCGATATTCGGTACGGTATCCATATTCTATAACTGAACGCTTTTCTTTACTGTCAACTCCATATCAGCCGGTATTAAGTACTAAGAACTTTTATGATAAAATATATAGGTTACTTTTTTGGAAATTGAATCCTTTCGCGGGGTCAAACATTTGATATTTTTTTTACAGTCGGACCTAGTTTCTCCGACTAATTTCCGAAAACTCTTTAATAATCTGATAACTATATTTCTAGAGGAGAATTTATCAGATAACATTTGAGACTTCTTTTTTAGTTATGGCTCCATGGCCAATTTGGATATTTTATATATTTGGAGAGGATACATAGAGAATACCGTCACCAAAATCAAAATCCCAAGCCGTGCCCAAATAGTGTTTGGAACTTTTACACATCTCTCATTTATAAGTTAAAATAACAGCATTACAAAAGAGTTAAGGCTGGATTTTGCTATTGGCGACTACTTGGACGTAGTGGGTATTTACACGCATCTATAAAACTGTATTCAAAGTATACGTCGAAATATCAAACAATGAAAGCTTTAGTAAAAAGTCGTACGCGGTCGTAAGATAAACTTATCCCTAGGAGTATCACAGGGATTTGCGCGCGCCAGCACAGGGTGTTGTTGAATTAGAATTCGCGGATGGCTTTACGTGCAACACGATATTATTGTGCAAGAGAGTTCTAGAATATTAGAGCTATTCTTATTCAATTTCGAATTATTATTATTCATAGTAGAGCTTCTGTTTCGCTGCTGAAATATTAAAATGCCTTTAAATTAAAACACGGAAGTCGTTCATACAAAACTGCATGAATCATAATTGATTGAGAAATTATGATGAAACATTACGATCCTATAAATCAGCCAGTTAAATACCGTAATGAAGACACAACTTTCCAAAAGAGTTCATCAATTATTATAAGGAAGCTATGATTTTTAGAGCAGAGGCATAAACGCAAAATTTCCGTCTTAAAATCAAAAGTATTTCGCCAGTATTTTGATGAAATGAATATGAAGTTTGTTTAAGAACAAAATGTTTCATTATTTCTACAAGAAATGCAAATTTAATTTTTTTAACGCAGCTTAAAATTCGCAGGTCAAACTAAAATTTTCTTTTAAAAAATTGTTCTTTTAAAAAATCAAACTTAAATTATCCCACAACAATAAATTTTACATTGGCTTTTACCAGATGTTATATAATATATATGATTATATAATATATATATATATGATGAGATGTATAAATCGTGATTCTTCTTCAAAACAGAACTGAAAATTTTTTGATCTCGTAAAGGCCACTGTCAAGATAACAGTTCAGAAAACGCAAGTAATCTGGAAAAATTCGCTCAAATTCTGCACAAATTACAGACACGTCCAACGTCAACTAAAGGAGAGATTTGCGTGTAAATTTAAACTCTTCATAGGGCTGACAGCCCCATGACCATTCAACTAAAACCTGCAAAGTAGGAGTTTCTTGGGCAGCAGAATGTAAACGAGGTACATAGGTACTCGTATCGAATACAATATTCACAACGACCTGTCTCTATAGCGGTCGTCGCCCAATGGTTTCATTTGCAAGAGACGCAGTTGAAGACAGAACTTTTTATTGTGATTAAGACATCCCTCTGCCACTTTCTTCGTCATTCGCCACAAAAAATGTTACCAGGAAAACTTTTAAAACCACGAACTGATAACATAGTTCGTAAAAACGAAGCGCCACCTTTTGGTACTTAAAAAAACACAAACGAACCTTCCATACCAGTTTGTGTAGCAGTTGAAACTATTTCACCCGTGAATTTATAAACTACAGGACAGATGGAGCTGTATTCAAGTATGTACTAAGTGTTTAGAAAATAAAGTACCGTGAAATAATTTCAAATAGATAAACTATCATTATTCAACGTGAACGGCCATGTTATTTGATTACCGTCACGCCTAACTAAGGCACTACCACGGTAATCATAAATTCAACATTATTTAAGTATTGGGAGTGCTATTTACCTCATATATAAGTAGCAAGAACCTAAAAAATTAATTTACAAACAAATAATGTAATAAATGTCGAGTTTCTTTAGCTTATATATAATGTATAAATCTATTTCTTTAATGAACATTTTCATTGGAATAACAACAGTAGCGGTTTACCCGACTCTCTTTAAAAATTAATTAAACGAAATAGAATGAACCATTCGCAGAAAAGTTTATGCATGATTTGTAATAACCGAAAAATTCACCATTTTTCTAAATTTATACACAATTAGCGAATAATATTGTAAAATCCTAATTCTGGAAATGGAGACGGAACGACACTCACCTCGCACTGAATATAGTGGCTAGTGCCATGAAGCAGCCATCTGCGACGCGCGGTGGGCCCGTGTAGCACTTGTCCACGGTCCAGTCCAGCAGTGGGCCGATGTCGGGGTTGCAGTCCAAAAGTAGCACGATCGTTTCGCGGGCCATCTCGTAAATCTACGGTCGCGAGGACAAGCAATCCGTAAAGCCATCCAATCTAAATTAATACATAAGTGCTTTCTGCTTGCTTGAAACAAAGATGGACCGTCTTTTACAGTTCACATGAAAATGGTATGCAAATAAATTAAAAGCATGGTTATTTTTATTGCCAGCTTACAACTAATCGATCATTGCGACATTCGAGTTATTATCATCCTATTTTAAAGTTTAGCCGACAGTTCCAGCTTCACCAAACATATCGGCCTGTGCACAGCAGTGACTGTAAGTTCCATCGTTGTGGGCCCGCTGCGTGGAGGGCGGTCCTCGGCTCGGCGGGTGGTGGTGCTGACGGGAAACGAGGCCTACCTTGTCGTTGGGCGAGGAGAGCATCTCGCTCAGCCACGGATAGAGGGCGCCGTCCTCCGCCAGGGCGTTGGGCGCGAAGCACGGGCCGCAGCACACGAGAGCGCTCATCGCCTGCCAACCGTACGAACATCTCGCACTTAATATACAGGGTATACTTTTATAATAATCGATTTATTTGTATATATATAATATATCAGAAACAGAGGCGGCGGACTGACATCCTTCGCGTATTTTCGAAATGTCTGCACTTAAAACAGCAATAAACAATTAATTCGCCCGATTTAATTGATGTCCAATTGACCTTGAGCGCTGAGAGGTTGAGGCGCTCGTCGACCTCCAGGGGTGGCTGTTGGGGCTGCGCCAGCAGAGGGCCCAGGTGCCTCGACAGGGGTCCACACCAGCCGGCGAACAGCGAGAACAGCCCCCGGCTCAGCTCCTTCTTCATCAGCGATCCATACATCTCCACTGCGAGAGCAAAGTGTTCACGTTCCGTTTGCAAAGTACACCGTAAATGAAATAATCGATAGGTCTCTCGGGAGGTCTTACTCGGGAAGGACTTGACCAGCTCGGTGAGGAGGTCGGCGAACGTGAGCCGCTGCTCGCGCGCCGCCGGCGCGTCCTTCTCCGCCTCCACCTCGAGGCACTGCCGCACGCCGTCCAGGTACTCGCCGATGGCCGAGACCAGCCCGCCGCCCTCCATCGCGAAACTGCTGCTGGGCCGGCGGGGGACATTACCCGCGTGTACTCATAGAGAGAGAGAGACAGAGACACGGTCTGCTCACCTGGAGGAGAAGGTGTTCCGCTGGGCGATGATGAGCAGCATCTTGTTGAGGTGCAGCCTGAGCGCGTCCCTCCGCCGCCTCCGGCGCATGTTTTCTTGCTTCCGGTCCACCGCCTCGCGCAGAATGGGCAGCAACTCCTCGAACAGATCCCTGTTCATTCGTTCACATTCATTACTAAATAATAATACTAATGATAAGGTACCGTTTATGAGTTTCATTCGTTCGGTAAATCCGAGTAGATGTATGTAGTATGTGCCCACTGACTTGAGCGCGTCGGGGTTGATGTGTCCGCAGGCGGCGACCGCCGCGTCGCGCACCTCCGCCACCTCGCAGCGCACCAGCGGCACGGCCAGCTTGTGCAGCGCGCCGGGCGACGCGTGCGCCGCGCGCGCCTCGCCGCCGCTGCGCTCGCTCAGCGAGTCCGGCGACGAGCTGCGGACACACGGCACGCTCGTTCACCGCGCACGCGCACACACGCGCACACACGCGCACGGTGCAATTGGAAAATTAGCAAACACACAATTATTATAATACAGCTCAAACAAGCACAAACAATGCAAGCAATACAGATTGACATTTAACATTCACGACGGGTCAACCAAAACATATTATCATTTATAAACAATAATGAGAAGTGAAATGTTTCCTCTATACTAAACAAAATATTCACATTTTTAACTCCGCAATCGCTTAAAACTTAGCGTTGCGTAATTGCCCATAATTGTTGTTTAATAATTTTATAGAACATTACATCTAAAAAATTTATGACCAACTGTTTCATCAATATTAAATTTTAAATTCATATATACATAAATTATGTATGCAATTCACACATATCGCCAAACTGTAAACAAGGCGGAGAGCGTAACATGTCATAGGCGAAAGGTCAGTAAATTTAAGGTAGACAACGTTCAACAATTGATAGAGACAAAGGTAAATTGAAATAGACCGCAACATATTTTGACAAAAGGAAGCATCTGCAACACTGAAACTAGCACGTACAAGATAAACAAGTACAAGATACAGAGATATGTACATACATTAAAACTTGTTTAATAACGAAGCCATGAGATGGGACAAATGCAGAATATATAAGCGTGCATTACACGACAATTTTGCCGAAGCGCGTAACGGATCCTGGTTAGCAGAATTTGATGCAAATAGCAAAGAACTTTCGTATTTTAATTTATTATCAACTAGAGAGTAACGTGAAATTGCAAAATACGGAAATCGCATCAAACAAACATTTGAGAAAAACAACTACTTTATGGCTTTGGGATGACCGTTTGGGATATATATGCATAAAAATGAATTGATGTTCGTTAAGGCCCATTTACACGGTGCAAGTTTCTTGCCTGTTATATACAATTAAATTGAAGCAATAAATGAGTTGCATTGTCTAAACAGCACATAACATTCTTGACTGTTGAACAAGACTTGCTTCAAGTTTTGTTTCAAAACTTTCCTTGGTGTAAACAGCACACACAATAATTTCTTAAGCAATTCTTGTATTCAATTGCATTCTCTCTTCCTTTGCAAAAATTAGTGCAATGAGTGACGGTATTTAATCATTGCTGTTCTTTTGAGGATAGAAATATTGAGAAAAGGTCGTAAAAAAAGTTTGGATAAAAATATGAATAATAATATATGGATCATAATAAATAAATCTCAATGAAATATATTTAATCGGCATAATCTAACTTGAACACTTATTATTGAGCCATTTTTAAAAAAAACAGCCATTTGTAAAACGTTCAACACTTGCATGAAAAATTTGTCAACGCAAATACGTGCAATACTTGAAGCAACACGCCAATAAATTGTACACGCACATACAAGCATGTGTTTAGACAAGTCAAAACTTGAAAGCAATAATCGCCTAAACATAATTGCATTGGTGTAAACAAAAGACCATTGCAATTATTTCCTGTCAAGACTTGCATTCAATAATCGCATTCAATTTTTTTTACTATATCTGCGTGTAAACTGTTGCTTACAATTCTTGATGGTCAATTATTGCGTGCAACTTATTGCATTCAATTATTGCTCTTGTATGTACAAGAAAATGGCATCGTGTAAATGGGCCTTTAGTCTCGCTAAAACTCGAGAACGGCTGCACCGATTTAGCTAATTTTGGTTTTGAAATATTTGTGGCAGTCCAGGGAAGGTTTAAACAATGGGAAAATGTGGAAAAATTGGATGGAAAATAGAAATACGAACAATTTTATTTTCGTACGTACTATATATTAATAACCATCGTGCGTACTATATATTAATAATCATTACAATTTTTCCTAATAATTACTGATTACAGTCTTGATTTTCGTTCGCGAAGGACTACGGTGGGAGAGAGCGCGGATTACGCAAACTATTTCGCCGACGATCATGCTCTTCTTTCTTTATCTTTAGTATTTATATATATTTAAGTTATCGGATTTAAGTCATATTAACAGGACGTCTGCCCGGTCTACTAGTATGTATATATTTTTACCTGTCGTCGGTTCTACTTTTTCTATGACTACGGTTATTTTCCCGGCGCTATTCTTCGTGTCATACTCGGTCTTGCGCATAATTATGCTTGCACATCATCTGCTCAATAAATCACACTCAAAGTTCTTACTGTTCCGCAATTTTTTATAGATTCTTTCAAAAACATTTAATAAAAAATATAGCAAATATAGCAAATTTATGCTAGTAAAGTATTTTTTTTTACCTATTTGTTGAAATATTATAAAAGTTCCTGTTAAAAATGAGGGTGAGCATCAAAACTGGCACGTTTTACTCTATAAATTTTTATTTGTAGATAGAGAGATGAATGAAGATCTTTGTTAGAGGTTCACTCATTTCTCAGCCGCCATTAAGTTGGATGCGACCTAGAGTGTTATCAAAATGTTGTTTAGACCTATTTGTTAAGTTTGTTTAAATAACGTTACATTTGAAATTTTTGAAAATGAACCATACAAAAGATACATTTATGTTGTTAAAAACCAGTAAAATTATTCGTTCAAGGCCGGGGCAACCATTGACTCTAAATGACATGAAATCTGCTAAATAATTGTTTTTAAAAAACTGTTGGTTGGTTAGACTAGAAATAGTCACGGATTCCAATTATTTTATCTATGCATATAAATGTTAATGCTGAGAAGTTAAACTTGCCCGATAATATAATAACGCGAGTTCTAGTTGTAATAAAATTTGTAATTAGCCTATTGACTTTTAAATATACCATAAAAACAATAAGATAGCACTAACTAGCTTTAACTGCCTCGAGAATGTTAAAAGTTTGGATCAAATATTTATGATTGAATTATATGTGATGAATTAAAAGAGAAAACAAAAAGTAAGTAGAATTTAATCAATCCCAACATGGAAATACTTGACGATGATAAATTATATTAAGTTTGTTTGGATTTCAAGAAACAGGATGTATGTTATGACTGTTTATACTGTTCTGATAATGACTGTTTATTAGTTCACAATTTTATCACAAATGTATGCCACAAACGTAAATGTTCACGGCTACGTTATGTGCGACACGGTAACACAGAATGAATGGATTATGGATATGATACACAATGTCGATGTGCGCCTCTTGCGATCAAGGTACAAAACAGAATGTGCCCGTCTGCGACGGTGGCGCTGGCGAGACCGACAACGCTCGAGCGCTAACTTTCGCATCATGGTATGCTCTAGGTGCGCATTATCTCCCCGAGCGAGACGGGGGATGATTCCAGCCAAGCGAAATGGAGCCGTAACAAGATGGGGACAATGATCGTATTCGAATGCGGCGTGCACTTAGCGAGCGTCAATGGGCCACCTCGTCCGCTTGTGGTGCCTGTGGGCGCGCGCATAGCTCAAGGGCAGCGTGAAGAAGCCGCCGGGCGCGTTGAGGCTCTCGCTCGAGGAGCTGAGGGCAGCCGCGCCCAGCCAGCCCTCCGGCTCCGTGTTACTGGACAGAGGTTCACGTTGCGCCAACTCCACGCTGCGTGGCCACTCGCTCTCGGGAACGGCTCTCGCGGCTCAAGTTCACGTTACGTGCCTTCGACGCTCGTTACGTGCGCGCTACGGGCACCGGCCAGGAGCCGATTCGTTCCTCACACGCAGTCAAAGTAACAAACAAATTGTACATCGCCTTTAGTGGCCCAATAGTGGCCCAATACAGTATACGTAGACACGGACGTAGAGGGCCCACACCAGCCCCGAGTTTTCCATATTAAGGTTGTATGCCGGTTTCGTTGTCTACAATCTCATATCAATTGTTAACACGCAATCGAGTTCAACCTTCAAACATTACAAAGAACGGCAACATAAGTTCTATGTATAGCTATTCGTTCCAGCACAACAAACCAATTTTAGAATATTACACATAAAAATACTTTACTGCCAATCAAAAATATTCAAACAGATATGAAATAATTATCAAGCAAGTTATAATATTAAAAGAGTCGGTGCTGTGAGAGTCGTCATAGAGAAACGTGTCGGTTGTGACAGATCTTTATATTTCCATGGGTTTATTTTCTTTTAAAAACAAAAGGGGCATTTGGATCGGAGTATAAAATGGGTTTATAAATGAGTCCGTCGCACTCGACGCCATTGAAATTGTAAATAGAATAGTAAATGCATTTACGGACACGTCGGTGGATGTGACAATATGTTTACCTGAGACTTAAATCGGGGCTGGCACAGCGGATCACTGGACTTGGCACGGCTGGCACCACCAAGTATGCCATAGTCATGTAGTACTTCCACACCTGAAACGGGTTATATTATATAACATATATAAATATATATAAATGTGAAATTTATCTTACACTGAGCATCGTACTGTGATAAATGGCAATTTCGAAGAAGTTGCATTTTGTAAATATTTGTAGTTATTGAATTTGTACATTTTATTCGGCATTTGGTTCATAGGAACAGCAGTGTTTATATTATTGTAAGGAGCAAGCTTAATTCTCTTGTCTACTGGCAGTGCCACCGTATCCTTTAAATTGGCAAAAGCAATCTGGCAAAGGTTTGTTGTTGGACGGCTTGTGGTTTAGTGATGCCACAAACAGAGTTTTGCATACACCATACGTTATATTAATTTCTCGTCTTCTTTTCGTTCTAGTCGTGAATAATTCTTTCTCGTTTATTTTGTGTAATCCCTATCTTGAAGCTTAGTTACTATTCTTTGTATCGCAGATTGTACTGATGTATGCAGCATAACAGTTTTACTCGTATTCTATTCATTTATATTTTATCGCGGATCCTCCTTTGCCGTTGTTAAGCTCAAGGTGCTCAGGCGGTGTTGTTGTGTTTTAAATCTGGTTACTCACTTGCATATATCCATCTCTCTCCTTTTCCGGCTTTCTAGGCAATGCTGGTCCGCGGGAGAGCAGTGATGCACGGTTGTCATTCACAGGTCTAAAAAAGAGATTATTAATTTTATCAACGATAAATACAAGTATTTAAAGAAATAACACATTAAAATAGTTCTTTGTTGCTTTGGGAAGGACTTAAGGTGCTTAACGCATCTTTGGAGAGATACAAGACAATGATTGAGTTTTGCGAATAAAATCAAGGTTGAATATTGTAAGTTCCGTATGGGATGAGATGAGACGCGGTGATTGTACTCACGCCGGCTCTATGATTGTGTAGAGGGCGTGTATGCGCGCGTGCAGGATGGGCCAGGCCTGCAGCACGGTGGCGGGGCAGCGCGCCGGCACGCGGCTCTTCTCCAGCAGCCCGAACAGGACCACCTGCAAGCAGGCGGGAGACGAGGCGCGTACAGTCGGTTGCGTTCGCGGCGCCCCTCGCCTATGAACCCGGCTAATTAGCTCACCTCCCACGGGTCGGCGCCGCTCGTCGAGCTGCCGCTCCAGCTGTTCTTGTTCGACGTCTCGTCGTGCTGGACTCCTGCACAGCGGCCAGTTTAAATTCAGTTTTACATAATATACCCTGCTAGTAAACGGTGAGAAGTGAGAAGTGGGCCTACCTGCGGTCCACACGTTGTGCGAGCGCTCCGCCAGCCACGCGAGGTCCAGCTGGCCGGCCGCGAGCACCGCCTGCTTCTCGGCGGGCGGCAGCAGCGGCAGGCACTTCTCCGCCAGCTGCGCCACGTGCGCGTCCGCCGCCTCTATCAGCGCCGGCTCCTCGCGGGTCAGCTGCAGCTTGTCCAGAAGCACCTTTATCTCCCTGCCGGGGTGGACGGACGTGCAATAAGCCGACGCTAGTTGGATACGATTCTCTATTTAAACGGCGACCGCATTGGAAGCTATAAGGGTGTAGGAGTAGCGGTTTGCTTTGTCACTCGTTATTTTCATATTATTACAACTATTAATAATTATTGCAAGAATGACTTTTCTTTTGCTCTGGAACATTCATAGTTTAGAAACATGAGAAAACAATTATTATCATTTCCGTGCCGTACCTCAGAATGTGAACGGCCAATCGTCGCGGGTACGCCTTACACTGACACAGCATCACCAGCCCCAAGGCCTCCGCCCCCCTCAGGACCGATGCGAGGGGCTCCTGCTTGAGCGGCACCGCCGCGCCGTTATTCACCGGTTCACCGTTCTTCCAGCTCGTTATTAATTGGAGGAGCATTCTCAAGCCGTTCTCCACCAGCTGTGGCGAAGTATCCTACAAAATACCAAAAGAATTACCTAAAACCTCTATCATACAGCAATTAAACAATAAATTTTGTAAACGGACTGTCTAATAAACAAACATCTCTGCATACGTAACTACGAAGCGATTTTACCTGCACTTCTTTAGCAAGAAACTGTGTGAAGCCAGCTAGCACATCCTGCCTCCATTCGGGGAAATCCACGATCAGGGTCTGAAGACTTTGAAAGGAAAGACCACGGAGCTCCTCGTCCATATGAACCGTTAGTCGACATAGGAGATCCACTAGTTCACTCGAACTCATTCCTTCAGGTATAAGTCTACAAACAAGAAAAAACACTCAAGTTCAAATTGAGAGGAAGAACATCTGTTTAGACGTGATTGTTTTTCTCATAATACGTGTAGCTTACCTTGGTATAGCGGCAACGCAAGTCCTGAAGAGGTCTATTCGCGGCTTCCTCTCACCCGTGTTTATCTCCTGCTCTTTCGTCACATTTTGAGTATTAGTCAACATGAGCGGCCTTCCATAGTGAGCGTCTAGGGCCCTCAGGATCTCCACCAAAACCCGCCTCACATACGGGAAGTAGGCGCTCATTCCGATAGAGCGAGCCGTCTCGTCGGTCAGCATTTTGTTGAGGAAGGTCTTTTTCACCCTGAGAGTGTTGCCCGAGGGTAAGGTGCCCGAGGTCCTGGGCATGGGGGGCTCGCCCTCCTTCTGTTGGAGACTATCCGCGACCACAAGGAACGCGCGCAGTCCGATGGACATTCTCTCCGGAGTCATGATAATCTTGATCGGCCGCCCCACCATGAGCAAGTCGAATACGATTTCCCTCATGGCGAAGTCCAGCCGCTCCTGCGCGATGAACTGGATGATTTTCACGAAGATGTTGAGCGGGGTGTCGCGGGGGACCACGCCCTTTGATCCCTTCGGAAACAGCGAGTTGACGATGCTCTGCAGCCTCGACTGGGTCGCAGAGTTGCTTTCGCATTTGATTCTAATCATGTACACCCAGAGAAGACGATATAGCGCCTCTGCAATGAGAAAGATTACATTGTACGGCCAAACGGCAGCTTCTGCTGGACGCCGCACGAACGGATAGGCACGTCTGAAAAAACTATATTTGCATACTTCGTTCGTACGCATTGCGTTCCGTGAGTAAGGTAAGTAAGCGGTGTCCACCCTTCAAACGTCTTCTGCATCTGAAAAGCCTCAAATGCCATAGATGTCCATGGGCAGCGGTAATCACTCAACACTAGGTGAGCTCCCCTGTCGCTTGACTATTTTTCACATTAAAAATTCAACAAACAACAAATACGGATTTTAAAATATCGATTGAAAATGTGACATACAAGGCGTATTATAGTCTAACATTTGATCTTCAGATTGACACGAGGCTGTGAAATATTTAATAATAGACCCAAGTGGTTTCGTCACTTGGTAGACTTACCGAGTGCCACCCTGCACATCTTCGGATCGCGGTTCTTGAGGTGAGACAAGCACATGGCGAGGAAACAGTGCCAGTTGGCGAGGAAGAACTGTTTCTGGGAGACGCACAGCAGACACGTGACCAGAGGGAACAGCGCCAACCGATGTTTCGACTTAGTACTGGCGTCTAGTGTATGGCTATATAGCATCTCCACGAAATTCTTCAGGCATGGCACGTTCACTTCGTTCTTAACCGTCTGTCGTAGAGAGGAAAGGTTACATACATTGCCTTACGTACATAAATTCTTCTAATATTTTGGCTAATTGGTCACATTGGTCACATTGTCCACTTACGGCGGCGACTGGCACCAGGATCTCCACGAAGAGGCCGGCGAGCGCGTGCCTGATGTCCTTCTCCTTCGCCTCGAGGAAGTACTGGGCGCACTCTTGCAGGAACTGGAACGACGCCTCGAACTCCTCGATGGGCACCATCTTCACGCGGAAGAACTTCATGCCCATCAGCAGCGATATGATGCTCTGCGTCGTGTGAGGAGACGGCTCGCGGCTCTTCAGCTCCTGTCCACCACAACAGCTTTATCGTTTCTATTTGCGCTTAAACTATACGCCGTGCGTGCGTGAAATGTAATGAGAGTAATATTATAATAGTAATAAGAGTTAATTTCTGGTGTGAAACGAGTAGTTACCTTGAGCTCTGCGGTGAACCGCTTGCGCACTGAGGCGAACCGCGACTGCGCCAGGACGCCGATCACCTCAGCATACAGGTCGGCGATTATGTGCACGTTCGCCGCGTTCGGGTTGGACTGCAGCCTGCGCCCAACATCATTTCTAAACATCTGGATCCCCTTCTCAACAAGGCCGCCTTTGAGCCAAGCGCGAGGGCGGCCAATTATCAATTGCCTCTAGCCTCTATTCGTACCGGACAACAATGTTTTTATCAACAATTTTCATTTGAAAATTGCAATATTCACTTACAGTGACAGCCATAACCTAGGGTTTACAATTTTCTCTCCATACCTAGTAATAACCACTTTCTGCGATCGTTAGTACTTACGTAGTTCATACCAAAAAAAAAAAAACATAATTATATAAATTTTCATATGTGTAAAAAGTGTTTCTGACAGATACATGTCATGTGTATCGATAATGGGCTGTTAGAGACTCACCCCTCCTTGTAATTGAACCGCTTAAAGGCGAGCGTCTCTATATAGTGGACTAGGTCCTCGTGGCCAGGGTGGAAGGGCAGCTGGCGGAGCACCTCGATGAGGGCGAGGCAGAAGAGGAACTCGACGGCCAGGTCGCGCCTCTCGGCCTGCAACTCCTCGCAGCTGCGCTCCACCGCCTCAGTGCCCGCGCCGCTGCTCCCCGACACTATGTAAATTATGCTGCAAACATACGAATACAAGGAAACACAAGGCCACTTACAATTTTGGACAAAAGTAACAAAATACATTAATCTATATCTTAATAACTTTACATCGGTGGTCATTCACTGATTTTTCCATATATATTTGTTCTATAAGTGTAAAGTTAATTTATACAAAAACTAGTAGCTCACCTTTTATTGCGTTGATCCTGATGGGGTTTTTTGGTTTGTTCATTAAGCTGGGGCGAATCGGCCATTTGACGCTCGAGCCAGCCGAATAGAGCGCGCAGCAGCGATGGGAGACAGTGCTCGGCCACCGTTCCGAAGGCAGACAGTATCTGATCAAGTTGCGGGTCCTCGCCTCGCTGTAGAGTCTTATTCAATGGTTTCTCCTAGAAACAACAGCCAAAACTCAATTTTTGGTCTTCAAAATGGAAATAATCTTTTATAGGAAAACAAATTACATACAAGTGGTTCTGCCATCACAGCCTCCATCTTCCTTTCAGCTTGGACTGTGAACTCGGTGAATAGTAATCTCATAACATATTCCCCGGGACGGAGGTCCGATTCCATCGGTGGTATAACTGGACCTTTGTGCGGGCCCCAGGGCAACATTGAGCCTTAATCAAAACAATAGAATATATTTGCCTATTGAAACATTTGTAATAAAAATCAAAATCATATATTCTGGTAAATGTGATTGCAAGAAGCAATTAAACGGATAGCAAAAGTTTTGCCCAGTACAAACCTCTGGTAGATACAATTGATGCCAAAGTATTGCCCACATTCCGCCAATCACTAGCAGTGAGCGTTGGTGCTGATCTATCTTGCAAGGTATTAGTATCGGTGATGCTATTATCATTGGTTAGCGGTGGTTCAGCATCATGTGGACGTTGTTCAGATATAATGCTGCCCTCGGACTCAGCCTCGCTTGATACCATGGACGATGGAGTCTCCTCCGTTCCTACAATTAAGAATAAATTGTAATAGATAGTACTTTATTATTTATTAGAAATTAGCATAAATGTAACAACTGTTAAATTAAATACATCACTGATTACTTTGTAGCATTCATGGTGATGAGGTAAACTGAGGTATTAGTTGTACTGATAATGTATTTTATCAATATTTTACCAGGCGATTGTTGTTTTAGAATTATTAAATTATGTGCAGTGTAGAATACTAAACTAGTAGATAAGTGTCTGTGTCTGGATTGGAATTTTATTTACTACTAAATATTAGCCAGGTGGTGGTACCAGATTTGATCAATATTATAAATATCCAAATCAAGATGTAGCATTCGCATAAATTTAAGCAACAATCCTTAAAATCACTACATATTATATATAAAACAAAGTCGACCCGCCGTCTGCCTGTTCCTATATATGCTTAGATCTTTAAAACTACGCAACGGATCTTGATGTGGTTTCTTTTTATTCAATAGAATAATTCAGGGGGAAGGTTTATATGTATAATACATAGCCCCGGTGTGAAGCTGGGATGGTATGATAGTAACTTTATATATGGGATTGCTGCTTTGTATTTGGAAGCAACTTAAGCTGGGTGAATAATATACCGCTGCCTACTGTCGTCAATACCAAGTGAATGGTTGCAGATTAAAAGTGGGCCCTCATTACCTCAGTCTCTATGTCAAGGTGAAGAAATGTAAATATATAACCATCACTACATGTCATGTGAGTGCTTACCTGCCCTATTACAAGAAATGTTTAAATCTAATATATAAAATTCTCGTATCACGGTGTTTGTAAAACTCCTCAGAAACGGCTCGACCGATTTTCGTGAAATTTTGTGTACATATCAACCAGGCTGGAGAATCAGACAACATCTATTTTTTCACCCCCCTAAATGTTAAGGGTGGTCCACCCCAAACATTATTTTCTACCCTACAAATAATTTATGTGGCAAAACATATTTTGCTGGGTCAGCTAGTATATCAAATAAATTTTGAATCCTATTAACCTTTGTATTAAATCATCACTAAACATATTTTAAAATGATTGTGTAAAATTTACATAAACTTAATGAATTTTAAAATACCTAAGGATGAAGTCAGTCAAAATTCAAAAACAAGGATTACTATAAAATGCATTGACCAAATGGGAGAGACTGGGATTAATATGAGATTAGAGATTATCTCAACTGTTAATGTTTATAATCCATATATTCTAAAAAAGACAAACAGTCTAAAATTTTGATTAGTACGAGGTGGATTGGCATCAGGTTAACTCTCTTATGAACAACTACTTAATGTCAAAATTTGCAAATAAAAAAGGCATAAACATACAAACCATCATTAAGTGCAGATTAATTAAAGAGCACTGTATTATGCCAAAAAATATGATAGTAATTGAGGAAAAGTAAAATACTAGGTTACCTGATACATCTTCAGGATGCCCATCAGATTGAACAGTGCTCACGGAATCAGATTCTTCTGATGTTATCATATTTCTCTCTTCAATCTAACTTTTTCACAAATAATGTCTTTTATGCCTGCAACAAAAAATATGTTCTAAACAATTAAATACACTTAAAAATAACATATGAACAGTTTACATACACAATAATTAGCAGTAAAAGAAAAATATCAAAATCTTCTGACTTACTGCCTTACAGTTTAAAAATATAAATTACTTGATATCATGGAGGTATCTTATAAATCTTATCATATATCATATAAATCACATAATCAAATCATATCATCTATCTAATCTTAATTCTATAGTTAAAAAATAAACTGTCTATTGAGCTTTTCTATTGAGATTTTAACTTAAAGCTTACCTCTATATTTGTCACTTGAGAGAGCCCAACATTGTATTTTTATTCCTAGAAACAGATTACTGCATGTTGTTAACTTATATTCATTTAACATTTTGTACATCAAGCAAATACATTCGCACTAGTATTCAAAATTGAATAAAATCTATAATTACTACATAACCCTCGCATTGCTGTATTCACAGTGAAATGTAATACATATACAAAAAAATTTTCAAAAGCTTTATATTTCAAATTATTTTAAAAGCTGTTAAAGGTCAATTATAAGAGGCTGTGAAACATTATATTAGTTTTCACTGCTTTATACTATTAGCAATTATATAACTATATGCAATTAGCAGTCAACTATTTCATTTATTATTAAATAAATCCTTAGGTCACAGCACAATAACATTTAGTTGTAAGATGAAAACAAATGCTAAAATATTAGATTGTAAATTAATCTATATCAAAATAATAAATAGATTAAAATACAGTCACATAAATCTTAAATAAATATATGACTTTGAACTAATTAAAATTTTATTACCTAATGACTCAATTAGATGAAATAGAAACATAATTTAAGAATTTAATGGACATAGCAGGAAAATAAATAATAATTAATAAATCTTTTTAAGACTTAGATCTTTTTTATACAACTTTCTCTAGTCCCAAACTAAGCAAAGCATGCTTGTACTATGGGTAACTGATAAATATATGTAAACATACTTTTCTTTTGTATATAAATACATATATACACACCCAAACACTAGAAAAATACTATGTTCTTTACACAATATTTTTCCCGTAGCGGGGATCGAACTCACACTCTCTGACGCAGGAGACAGGTACACTACCAACTACACCAAAATCTTAATTTATATAATAGTTCTTTTAAATCAAAAATTTTTGATCTAACCACTGAGATATTAACTACCTAACTACTAGTTAAAAAAATCTAAAAAGCAGTTTCAATGAAATTTTCTCAGTATATACACATATATTAGCTGACCCAGCTGATGTTGTTTTGCAATATAAAATATTTGTAGGTTAGAAAAAAAGAAAAGTAAAAAAAACATTATAAATCTATTCTCATACCTACTACATATAAAATTTCATCAAAATTGGTCAAGCTGTTTCGGAGGAGTATAAACACAAACTTTAATGTTTGTTACTTTTCTTAAATTGCTTGCTTAATACTCCTTTCTCCTGCAGAATAATAGGAATTATCAATTAAGGAATATTAATAATTCTTATTAATCTCAGCAGTATATTGATAGTTCTTAGGAATTTTAAGTCTTATACTTTTAAGTCCTAACTACATAGGAAATAGATCGAATTAAATATTTTTTCTTAAAAAACCTGAGATACTATAAGAAATATTGATTAAAGCATGGATTAAAATACAAAATTTTTACATATTAAATAATCAAATTGCTTATAGAAATACGCCATCTCAACGACGCTAACAATTTTAACAACAACATAAAGTTGTACTTTACTACATCTAAGAATATGATTGAACAATATAACTCATAAAAAGGAGAATGGATTAAAATATACCTTGTCTTCTACCTCCAAAAAACGATGTCACGGCTTAAGTGCAATGTCATTTTCATTCAAAGTAAATAGTTGTAAAAATTTTGAGAAAACACAATTTTATTCACTTTTCAGATTACCTACTCAGATGGATAATAGTAATTTTTAGTTTTATCTCATTTGACATATACAAGAACACAACCAAGTCAAAATCAAATGTCACCTTAAAATGTTACCACATAAAGAGAAGTAATCACTATACAACTTGATCGATTAATATTGTCTATGAGGTGTGAGGTCTAGGTGCATAATTATAATACCTACAATGAATTGTTCTTTTCATTCTACCAATTTTTATGACATTTGGAGAAACATCCAATGATTAATAGTTAGTTTTACCTAGCCCCATTTGGGTGCTGAGCTTCAACATTCGCTACAAGCTTCGAGCAACGCACTCAAACGAGCCGCACAGCGAATACCTACTGTTCTACTTTAAGTCATAGGAGTACACAAGATCGGCTACATTTTGAAGAAGCCTTCGATTAAAACATTCTACCAGTCACCGAGGATGATTATCTGTCAAATGTAATATACCTCTGCAAGATGTGTACACTGTACAAGTTTGATTGTGAATGTGGGCTCTCTAACATAGGTCAAACTAAAAGAGCTATAAAGACCCGCATGAAGGAACATGAAGTTGAATAAAACATAATAGATTAAACAAGTCTGCAGTCTGTGGGCACACCTTCAATCCCCTCAACCATTATATCGGATTTAATAGACCACACATCCTTACAAAAGAACACCGCTTCCGCCCAAGGATGAAACGTGAGGCTATTAAATTAAAAAACTACCTAATTTCAATAGAGAGTAGGGTGCTAGCATCATCTTAGGATTATATCTCTATATATGAAAATAAATGAATGTGTTGCTAATCGCAAATCTCGAGAGCAGCTTAATCGATTTCGCTAATTGTTTTCATAATATTCTTTGAAGTACAAAGATGGTTCTTACGGAGAGAAAAATTTAAAAAATGGCCTGAAAAGTTTAAAAACAAACTTTTCTATGTTCCCGTACAAAAGATTCGTAATAAAACTTAAGTCGATTTGAACTTTAATACCATACCATAAAGTTTAAGTGTTAGGACTATGGTAAAATGTCACTTGAAATGTAAACGTCTCTTTGCTGTGCATCACTACATACACAGAGTACTTTATAATATACTGAAAAGTACTTTATAATATACTGACTACATAGTATAAAACAAAGTCGTCTGTCTGTCCCTATGAATACTAAGATTTTTAAAACTACGTAACGGATCTTGATGCGGTTTTTTTAACTAAATAGAGTGATTCAAGAGGAAGGTTCATCATATGTATAATAAGAATCTCTATTTTTCTTCCTTCTAGAAAAGACACTTCTTTTCTTGAAGGCTCCTAAGTCATATTGGTTTGGAAATATCGCTAGTGGCAACTGATTCCACTACTTGGTTATGCGTGGTAGAAAGTGGCGTGGTGGACGTGAAAAACTTACAGTCGTGAACCAACGAGGCCATCTCTATAGATGGTTATTGATAGTATCAAATTGTCAATAACCATCTCTATCGTACGGTGGCGAAATTCAAAAGCAGGTATTAATCCGAACAACTCCTCAAAGCTCTTTCTGTAAATAATTAAAAAAAAAGCTAAGAGATCAAACATATTTTGACAAGGCGAAAAAATTGGCACGATTGACAAGGACATAATCGCCGACGATTTATGTAGCCCTAAGTTCGATGCAGTAAAATGGCAGCAGCTGGTTTTGGGGCGCCCCAGCCCAGAAATGAGAACATCACTTCATGTGCAGCCGAATCTACGCTTTGTAAAGCTGCAGGCTTGGGACAGCAGGAAAGTACTCAGTGATTTGTTTTTCTCTCAGAAAATCGTAATTGCCTTTAGACGATTTTTCTTCATATTCCCCTCTGAAATATGTCACAATCTCATTTTGGTAATTTTTTTTTTTCAATTTATATTTTTTAAATTTGTTAGTTGGCGGCAATTCCAAGTCTTGTTATCTACATTTAAAAATGAATTTTATGCGAAAAAGTTTTCGATCCCTGATTTATTACGATTTTCGTTGTGATCTTACTCAACAGCAAAGCTATGATGGATATCGATTGGCATTTAAATAAATAATGAAGCCCCATCCCGTACTACTGTTTACAATTATTGAATTAATGAGTTTACGCGTGGGCGTAGCTGTGATGTTTTGCGGACGTCCTTAAACACCAAAAAAACATACATGAATCACACTACACAAAAAATTATTTAGCTGCCACAACGCATGAGCTAAAGGCATTGAACTGGACAACGCTTCAAGCAGTGGTAACACGCATAAAATGACTGAAAACTTTTGTACTCGACTGACCGCAACAGTAAACATGGCTGATTAACTCGGACTAGCCACTCTAAAACTATGATAATGTTATAGTTAGAGTCGGCCCTTGATTATTCCAGAACTAATTTGTTGTATGAATCACAGAGATCGACTGCACCTACAGCCTCGAAAACATCCGAATGTTCTTCTATTAAACTACATTTATAAGCGTTATAAAAACTTTGGGAACTGCTACAGTAAAAATAGAGAACTCTCAAATAGCACTAAAATTAAAAAATACCTGGAGATCAATTAAATCCTCGACTGTGTCACTTAATAAAACTAGACTAGACAGCTCTGATATCATAGACTCCCTTGAAGAATGTACCATTTTCTTTCAACAGTAGGTCAAAACTTAGCGGAAAACAATTTACTTAACCTTCAAACGACCGAAGTGACAAAGTAAACAAATTTCTTATGACGAAATTGTCGACAAATTTTTCTACAGCTAAACCATGACGTTATTCCTTATAACTCGCACAAGACAAGCAGTATTCAAACAAGTTTTTTATATAATTTAATAAATTGTGTAATACATGTACTGAATTGTTAAAGGTTTGATTTAATTTAAAGTTTATTTTCTTGTTTCTGTGGCAATTCAATAAAAAGCTTGTTTTAAATTTTTTTTTAATTAGCGGACAAATAAAAGCATGTAATAACACTTCCACTTCCCTCAGGTATTCTGGAGGTCCTGATACTTCCCCGGACGGACCTGCCCATTCGTGCACCGGCC